CTGTGCCTCTATTATCACACTTACATTTCTGGATCTCTTGAAGTCTTATAACCTCCCTGTCTCAAACCCTTGCCAAAGTATTTCAATCTCCTGGCAATTTCTGATCAGAAATTGTCCATGCCTACCTCAAACAGCACTTTCAAACTGGCACTGCCCTGCTCACTGCACAGGGGCACCTAAAGCTTTATGGAGCACCTCAGCTTGTAACATGTAGCACCCCAGTCAAGCAGGACAAATACAAGTAGCCCTTCAAGGACAGAACTGACACAAGAGACTAACAAGACCTACACTCCTCATAACCAAATCAAAAAACAATTGAGAACATTAAGTGACACAACTCAAGATGTTCTCCTCCTTTCCTACCTACTACTGTGAACTTGGTGGTTAGATGTAGGCTGGAGAGTTCCCACTTCCTGCCTCACCTGCACACAGCCAAAGGTGAACACTTTTCTCAGTTCCCCCACCAGAACACAGCATGGCCTCCACCTTTATTTTATTACCAGACTCCAGCCAAAGGCAGACACCAGTGATTAAACTCCAAGCAGAGCCAGGGAACCACACCCTTGGCCTTGCCACTGGCTGGAACACAAACGCTTCTCATTCCAAATCCTAGCCCAAAATCCTGCCAGAGCTCACTTCCCAGCTTAAAAAAAAAAAAAAGAAAAATCACTTTGACATCTGCCTACCTTGTACATGGAAAACTTGATGGCAGATAACTATCTCACCTGTGCCCTTCCACAAGGCATGACAGATCAAGATGCCAAGCATACCTAGCTGCTCCCCAGCCAGAAGCCAGACTGTGAATGCAACCAAAACCCCTCTCCCACTCACCACACACATTATATAGCCCATACATATTTTTAAAGTGGAAGAGCCCAACTTCAGTCTACATTCACTGACACCAACCACTGATTTAACAGATCTGGGATGCTGGCAGGTTCAGGGGTTCATTTTTAATACATCCTTTCAATAACCAGCTTCTTTGGGCTTTGGATATTCTCTCCCTCCCCTCCAGCCCTGTTCCTTAAGGTTGCCTGCTCATGCAGTTCTGAGACATCCTAAAGTTCAGGAAACAAACATCCAACAGGGAGTGTTTAATAAAATATTCTAACAGAGAGAATCAGCATGTCTATCAGACTGCACACTACATATGAACTGCGATACTTTTTAATAGCATATCCATTTTTGCAAAATTTGCCCAAAAAATTCACTTCTTTTGATCCAAGAATTATATCTTTATAAATTGACTTGTGATATTAGCCTGATCCTGGCCTTAGGACTCTTAAAACTTAAGTGTTACAGAGAAAATCACATATGCAGATGATTCAGCATTAACTAAGCCTACCATGAGAGCTTCCACTGCTTTTAATGGTGGTTGGATGGGGCATCTGATTTATTAAGTCAAGTTATGAAATGTTTTTACATAAAAACCTTGCCATATGCTACTCCATGATCAGCCTCACTCACTTTCTGTCACACACAGTCTAACGCTGACGTCAGCCCTGCTTTGTGCAGGAGGCTGGAGCACACAACCACCAAAGGCTCTTCCAACTAAATCATCCTCAGATTCTAACACACATGGCCCAAAAAATCACTTTATAAATCCATGACTTGCCAGCCAAACCAACTCCTTCTACATGGCATTCTGACTCTAAGGCTGAATGCACATAAACTCAGCTATCTATCATCACAAACTTCACCAAAGTCATCTCTGCAGTGTCCAGAGTGCATCTCCTCCTTGTCTCTTCCAGTCTGAACCACCACACATGCATCCCATCTGCTTTCACCCAAACTGATCAGCCACAGACATCCATAGCCTCTGAGTGTCCAGTCACACAAACCAGTATCTTTACCATAAAATACTCCTAACAGAATGCAATTTACATATATTGTCAGGAAGAGAAGGAACATAAAAGAAACTGTTTCATTGTAACCAGAACCTGAAACAGGTATTTCTCTACTGAATAAAAAGGACAAAATTTCAAGTAACAAAACACAAACTGCAGTGCATCATGCTTACTTTCACTGGAATAGTAACTATTTAACAGTACAAAAATATCTTTCTAAACAGTTTTTAAACTGTATATGTAAGCTTGCTTATCTGTTTATAATGACAAACTACATATACAAGCAGACCTACTAAAGCCATCAAGTTATTGCTCTTTATTTCCCTAAAAATTTTAAACATATGGCCAAAGAGAGAATTATGATAATGCACTGTTTTAATAACTGAGATGATCAAAAATTAGTGATCCAGAAAGCAGTCAATAACACAGTAATTTAAAACAATTCTCTAAATGTCCATCAAAAACTTTCACTGACCTACACACTCTACAACCTCTACACAGCTCATGGGATTCCTTCTGCTTTTCTCATAATCCTGAGGTCTACATATCCAGCTTCTATATATTACAAGCTTTAAGGATTACAGGAGAGGCTCACTCCTGGAAAAACACACTTTGATTTCATGCTTGGGAAAAAGCTCAGATGCATCAAAACAATTCTATGCATCCTTCCCATTTAAAAAAGAAGAGAGGCAAAGAATGATTTCAATGGCAGCCTAGTTTCCCATGCAGGCATCAAGCCATCTCTACAGTGTCTAAATTGAAGGAATGCTTAATCACCTTTAGAGGAAATGGAATGAAAGCCCTCCCTCTGCAAAAAAAGAGAAGTGGACACGTTTTGTAACCAACACACAGAACAATCTCTGCTCCTAACAAAGCAATGCAAAGACCTCAGCCTGCTACAATCTCCAGCTGCCATCTGAGCTAAACATAAAAAAATAATGGCATTAAACATGCCCATGATGAACTGGTTATATATATCCACACACATATTGCCACCAACCACAAGAGGGCCAATACTGTACAGACCTTGTCACTTAAAGCACTTAATTCTTAGTTCCATCCATAAGTTAGGCACACCTTGAGCAAACTTGCTACATTTTCTCACTTCTGGTGATTTTCAAGCCAGATCCTTTATGCAAACAAAAAAAACGTTCTGGAGTTGAGAGCAAGAGATACAAGGAGAGGCTAAGATGGGCAGGAAACTGACTTTGTTCCCAAAAGAGCAAACCCCATCCCCCTGCAGCATTTCACACACCTTGCCTTTCAAATGTCACTCTATTAATTAAAATAAATTGATGAGAAAACCACACAAAGCAAGAGTCCCTTTCAAGGCAAATGCTTCCTCAGTAAACAAAGAAAAAGGTTTCCCCTCACCAAAGCATCCAATGGCTCTCTAGGAAGCTCTGTAGGGAGAAGGCTCCCTTGCTCTGCCCCATGGCTCTATCTATAATCATGAATTATAAATAGTTTATCTCCATTCATCTTTGAGCAGCAGCACTGAAGGGGGAAAAAGTAAGAAAAAAAGAAAAATTAAGAAAAAACTGCTAGGAAATGGATTTTTTTTTTTTTTTGTAAATCAGACTATGAGAGAATTTAATACCATACTTTGAAGAGTCCTAGGGAAGAATTTTAAAGACCTCAATGAAAGAATAAGAAACATATATACAACAGTTACCTGAACTTGCAAGACCAGACAAAAGTAGGCAAAATGAGATTTCACATTCTTACTAATGAAAATAAATAAATGAGCAGAGAGGCCAAAGGGGAAAGCACAGATCATCGTGCCCAGCTCATCTTCATCAGTTACTGTGAACCATGTTTTCCCTTCCAGGTTTAAATAGAAACCTTTCAGCACAGAGATGTACCAGCAAAGCCTTCAGCCACTCAGCTGTCCCAACAATTTGTTCCATGGGACTCTGACATCTAGGGCTGCTTTTATTTTAATGAAGTATCTATAGATCTTAAAAAACTACTGATTGTTTTTTTACATTCAAGTATGAGGAACTCCAGTGACAGAACTTCATCCAGACATGAGAAATACATTGGTGCTTAGTCACAATTCCTTAATAAAACCCAAAACCTACTTTGCACTCCCTTTTTAGTTTTTTTCCTCAACTGAGGAGTAAAACAGGAAAGAAAAAATTAATTACAAAGCCCTCAACTGTCTATTTACAAGCATTTTTTTTCACTTACATAATCATAGGGACCATAGTTTTAGTTTACTATATGTTTTAGAAACACAAGCAAAAATGCAAACAGGAGCACCTGAGGATATTTTACAATCCTCAAGGTCAACACCTGTAACAAAAGTAAGAGTCCAAGTTTTCACTGTGGTATCAATTTTTTTAAGCACCCTGTGAAACAAATCATTGCTGCTCCAAAACCACATTACATTTTAGTTCTATGCTCCTGCTTTAAAACACAGGCTCAAGAAAGCATTCAGAAAAAGGCCCCAAAGAAATACAGTGAGCAGGTGTCCCCAGGCACATTCCAGTACCCAGGGGCTGGGAGAGCCTGAGAAGCTCTTAAAACCATTCCACACCAGTATTTACACACAGTATTGCCAGATACTGGAGCACTTTATCAAAGTCTCAAAATAAGAGGTGACATCCAACTTCCAGGGCTAAAATTTTGCCTTCTCTTTAATCCAGCAAACTATTAGACAGAAACTTTATTTTTTTTTAATCACGCATTCATTCAGGAATTAACACCAGGCACACAAGCACTGACATCAACTGACTGGTACAACTACATGAACCTGGGGAGCAAAGCAGGTGCAGATGGGGCCATGGACACTCCACGTTTGTGCAGGCACCCCCAGGATTAATTAGGTCACACATTTTTACACCAGCATCAGCTAACTGCTCAAAAGATACCTATTCAAATGCATGGCAAGAAAACCAACACCTCATAGCAATAATACTCTTATTATCCACTGCAGTCACCACCCAATGACAAAACTTAAAAATAGCAAAACAAAGCTTTTGTTGGTGACAACTGCAACCAATTTTGTTTACAAAGGTTTCCAATTATCACACTGTGTATCAACCAAATGCTCCATTCACAGGACAGCACATTAATTTTTGTTTATTCAAGAGTTTCTTAAGAACAAAAGCAACCAGCAGAATCGTAAGAAAAAAAATTCACACGTACTTTCCAGGAACTTGCCCAAGTCAGCTCCTGAAGCAAGAAAATAAAATGTGCAGCAAGAAGTTAGAGGAATATAATCAGAATTCAAAAGTCCTTTTCCCATCCACCCAAGCAAACAGATATTCAAGAATGACAGTAAAAGCAGCACACCACGAACGTTGAACTGAATGTTACTGGGGGAAACGCGGATTTTTATTCCAGAAGCACTACTTGGCAATACCTCCTTTTGGCCTACACCTTGTCCCAATTCAAAGCGCAATCAGAGAGAACTGAAAAAGCCGTAAGCACTCTGTTGACACTGAAACTACTTGTCTTGGATCAATACCAAACGTACACAATTGTGATCGATGCTTTCTTCAGCCTGCCAAGGCTCCTCCAGTCAAACACTGCCGGTCACCGTTGCTCCCAGCACCCTGCTGCCTGGGCGGGGGAAGGCTCGGAGCTCCCTCCTTCCTCGGCCAGTGTAACCCGACAGGGCCGGCCGTGCTCGAAGCGGGGCTCACCGCGGCGCTGCCGCTGGGCTGGGAGGGGACGAGCGAGTTCACAAGGGTCAGTGCGAGGGGAGACGGCCCCGGAGGGCGCTGAGGAGCGGCGGGCGCCCCGCCGCCGCCTGACAAGTACCAAGGACCCGCACGGAGAGCTCAAGGCCCGCTCGCCCCAGCTCCAACGACCCCTGCAGAGGCCCATGGGGAGCGCAGGGGGGCCCTCCAGGCGCACCCCCCCACCCCCCTGGGCGGCCTCGCCTCCCGGTTAGGCCGCGGGGCGCCTCGCTGCTGCGGCAGCCGAGGCGGACGGGAGCCGCCGGCAGGGCCGGTAGTCGGGCGGGACACGCGGGGGCGGGGGTGTGGTAGGGACGGCCGGGGCAGCGGCGGGGCCGGGCGGCGGCGGGACGGCGTTACCTGAGCTCCCGGGCGGAGAGTCCCTCACAGCCGCGGCGGCTCCTCAACCCAACAACACAAGATGGCGGGTGCGCCGCCACGCAGCGTCACGTGAGGGCGAGGCCACGCCCCCAGACCCCGCCGCGAGACCCGGATGAAGCAGCGGCTCTTCCCGCCCACCCCCTCGTGTGACGTCATCCCGGAGCGGGGCGGGCCTCCGGCGCCCCCTGCCGGACACGAGAGGGCGCCGCAGCGCCACCCCCGCCCCTGCCCCTCACAGCCCTGAGGGGAGATGGGGATGGAGGGACATGGCAGGGCCGGGGGTACCCGCGCCTCCCGCCCTGCCCGAACCCCCGGTAATCAAATCACCGCCTCAGTTCCCCTTGCACTCGGCACTGATAAGGCCACACCTTTAGTCCTGTGTCCAATTTTGGGCCTCTCAATGCGGGAAGGATGTTAAGGGGCTGGAGCATGTCCAGAGAAGGGAACGGAGCTGGGGAAGGTTCACCAGTCTGACGAGGAGCAGCTGAAGGAGCTGGGGGGTGAGCTCAGCCTGAGGCTCAGGGCGCCCTTCCTGCTCTCCACAACTCCCTGTGACAGGAGGGTGCAGCCGGGGGATGGCCTCTGCTGTCAGCGAACAAGGGACAGGACAGGAAAACATGGCCTTAAGCTGCAGCCAGGTGAGTTTAGGTTGGACACTAGGTAGAAATTCTTCACAGGAGGGGTGATTAGGCATTGGAAGGGGCTGTCAAGGGAGGTTGTGGAGTCACTGTTTCAGGAGGTGTTCAAGGAATACCTGGATGTGGCACTCGGTGCCCTGGTCTGGTTGACAAGTGGGGATCAGTCACAGGTTGGACTCGATGATCTCAGAGGTCTTTTCCAACCAGAATGATTTCGTGATTCTGCCACCCTCCCGCCACTATCTCACACACACATACACGGCCTCAGCAGAGCAGTGTGGCTCCCAGCCTTATCTGTTTCTTCTGTGTGGTTCCATGAGGCAATTCAGCTTTATCAGTGGCCACGAGAATCTCTGTGAGAAGCCACCGTGTGTGAGCACTCTCAGTGCCCAGCTGCTGGACCTGCTCTCGCCGGGCACTGGAGGAGCCCTGAGGCCGCTTTGCCGTGGGAGTCACCCTGGGAGGCAGCGGCAGCTGCTGTTGCTGCTGACAGAAAAAGGGCATTAGATGATACATATTTTGACTCTTCTGATGGAAAAATCAGGAGCTCAAGGCAAACTTTCTTCAGCTAAAAATACCAGTTTATTTTTAGTCCCCAAACCCATATTAGTACATGAGGCAGAATAGCCCCATGTGGTTCCTTCAGCGTAAAAAACTATTCTTGGCTGTTACGCACTGCTGAAGGTATAACTGTTTTCAGCTGAAACAGTTTCACTCTAATCATGATGTCAGCCACAACCGATGTAGCTTTCTACATCCTCTTCTAGGTGAATAAATACTTGTCATTGTGTACTGAATGACAGCCAAAAATGATGCAACAGTGAATACTAGTGATTCTTGTGAGCTAATGGGTTGAAAGCCTGTAATTCTTGGGGCTTATTTTTAGCTGAGAGCAACATAGGACTACCTCACCCAAAAAAACCTAGAATGGAATTTCTCCATTAGGAGGCTGGTATGGAAAAGCAAAGCTCCCTAGAAAAGGGCTGGCCTCTGATAAGCTGCATTCAATCCCCCTGGTTGTTGTCACACAGCTTGAGCCAATACTAATAATGATAAAGAGAGGGAGGGAGGGAGACCGTGCTGCATTTCAAGCTGTCAGTGAGAACTTCCAATTTAATTGCAGAAGCAGCTGTGCCTTGTTATTCTACTTATCAAATGTGAGTTTGAGCACTCAAAAATATTTTCACATGCTCTAAGACAACCTTTATCTGAGATGGAAGATGTTTAGCACTTGTGGAAATTTTTTTATCCCAGTTAGCACAAACATTATATTACTGAGACCAAAAAAAAAGAAAACCCAATTTCAAATTCAAGAAGCATCTGAAACATTCCTCATCTGCAGAACTTGGCATTTCTGTAAAATACCTCAAGGAAACTCAGATGACAATCTTTTGGTAATAGCAGATGCATCTTAAATCTTCCACAATTCATTCAAGCAGAACAGAGAGAATCTCATGAAAATTCAAGACTGTACCCGTGCGGTAAAATTCCTGCATGGCTCAATGACAGAATGTCAGCTGATATTGTGTAGGTGTGAAATCACCCCAGCAGCCAGTCTGGGTACCAAGGGCACGATGTACTTCAGAGCCCTGGATTACTGTGCCAATTCATTCACACTATTAAAAACCCAAGTGCAGGGAAGCAGCATTCCCAACATACTATAAACTTTCCTTACTAACCCCTTGTTTTCATCCATTCTGGCTTGGAGGCAGGAGCCCGCCTCCCTCAGTACACTGGTAAGGCTATGAACACAGAGCACAGCTTTGAAATGAGAAATAATGATCACAAAGCAGCCCAGAAGGATGTGTCACAGTCATGTTTCCCCTTGCCACTCCTGCATTTTGTTACTTGGAAAAGTGGTTCCCCTGTTTGTTGAAATAACCAGGGATTTTGTCTGGGAAGAATCAATATGTTCTCAGCAGCCTGTTTTCCATGCCCCCATTTGTCACATCCCTAAAAATAATGAAAACAGCAGCAAAGCAGGCAAACATCCAACTGCAGTTTTTAAAGTCAGTCACTTCAATGCATCTGTCACCTCAGGTGGCTTGTGCTGAAAGACACAATACCACAAACAAGCTGCTACTTCTGCAACACTCAATTACTTTTAGATGTCTTGGGTTTATTTGGACACTCCCATAAGGTTAAAATGTTATTTTGTCTCCTTAATCCTCACAATAAACCCTGAACCCTGAGCCAGGAAGAGCTTGATCACACCATTTCTCTTTCTCTCTGCTGTGATCACACTGAGCTCTTTAGGTGAGACTTCCTGCTGCCGTAGGCTGTCCCCTGCAGCCAACAGCAATGACTGTGACAGGAACTTCCTTGAGAAATCCACTGCAATCTGAGCATCCAGACAGGCTGAACCCACCCTTGGGGGTGGCTGAAGTGCTAGTGACTCCTCTATTGTACTTTGCCTACTCTGGGGAAATGTAACGTTTTTGTTAAACAAAATCCCTTCAGGGATCAAGGACTACCTGAAGTTTCCATTCTAGATGAATGAAACACATGAAATACTTGAGGCAAGTGATTGTCCCTTCTGAGAAAGACCACTAAGCACAACAGGTTTTTCATCAAGCTCCTCTACTTGCCATCACCGACTTAAGGGTCACTTGTGGCATGTCAGAAATACCAGAGAGGCACTAATGTACCAGCAAGCACCACTAAAGAGAGTTGGGATTGCCAGGACATTTGAGAGCCACCTGAGGTGACATCAGGCATAGAAGGACAGAGCATCAAGGATTGTAATAGATAAATTGCAGGTAAATACCACTAAGTGTTTTCACATGGTTTTAGGTGGGAGATACAATTAGACAACTTCTCTTTAGTACTTCTGCATAACTTAATGACAGTTATCTAATCCAATAATTGCCAGTAAAACAGAACAATTTAGAAAGCAATTAATTTCCCAATGTCCATTTTTGCAAAGCTAATTTCAAAACACACATTGCTGCAACTTCTAAATAAATGCACATCCAAAAGCACTTACTGTTCACTGCACTGACTGCAGGTCCCAGCTAACAGCACCCATTTGAATTGAGCAAAACCATAGACAATGCTCATTTCCTTACTGAAACTTGTCAGCTGGAGTTGACTCAATTCTATTAAAATAAAACCACTGGAAAGCCTTTTTCCACCATCTTCTCCTGCAGCCCTGGGCTCCTTACCCAGCTGCATGTGCAAAGCAGCAGAACTCAGCAGTGCTTGCTGTGCTGTAAAAAAAAAAAAAAACACAACAACACAAACCAACAACAAACAAAGAAAAAATCAAGAGCTGCAGTGTCACAATTTTCCTGGGGAAATGGAGAGTAATGAACCTTCACCCTGATTTTACCTGGCCTCTGAGACCTGAGGACTCAGAGACACAGTGAATGCATTGGCTCAGAGCAGAGCTGCATGGAATAAAATATTTATGGTTTCTATTTCATCACTGGACCTGAAACAAGGCATGGTTAAACCTCTTCCTGAACCCCCTCCTCAGTGTGCCCTGCAGCAAAACTTAGCAGATCAGCAATAGTAGAAACAAAATTCTTGGAGACATATTTTCACATAGCCATGTATTTTTCTTTTTTCTCCCTTAATAAAGGCAGAAGCAGGAAATGCAAAAGGAATTCCAGCTGAAGCAACCTGCGCAGCTCCCAGCTGGGGCACTATGGGGGCTGAGACTGAGGCTATTTTAAGATAAGGAAAGGCTGACAACCTTCAGATGTCAACATTTAGCAGCAGGCAGTATTTTAAGTATTTACACAGCCATGTCCCTTTCTGAGGGAATGCAAACATTAGGGCTTTTTACACCAGAACTGCTGTGCAGAACAGGAAGTGTTCTCAAGAAGGGGTTGAACACTTCCCCCACTCATCCAAGTCAGGATGCCAAGCTTTGGGGATTACTATTATAATTTATGAAAAATGCTATATTCAAAGACCTGAAATAAGCCACAGACAAGACTGGAGATAACAATGCTTTATTTTTACATTTCAGCAACAGGAGAAATAATTGAAGATGAAATTATCTGCTTTGTTGTAAAGTATAAAAACATTTAATTATAAATATTTAGCTACAAAAGCGTGATTTATAAAATATAATCTGTGAAGATATATACACAGTTTAATCATTTAGCAATTCTTTCACCTGACATTAAAGAGTAGAGGTTTTTCTATTTATTATTCCATGCTCACAGTTTAGTGCTCACAGTTTAAGAAGCAAAATAGACAAGTGAAAAGATGGCTGGTGAGTTTTGTTCTGGGAAAAAAAATTAACATTTTGCCATGAATTTGGGCAAGATCAGAGGCAGAATTTCAGCAAATCCATGTCTTGGAAGAGGTCTCTGAGGGAAGTTCCCCTGCCATGACCAACAGTGTTTATATCCGGACAAGCAATGGGCATCTCAACATTTGTGGGCAAGTTC